GACAGCCTAATGTCCAAGCAACTGCCAGAGTAGTATTTTAAAATGTAAATCCAATGATTTCACTCTGCTGTTCTAAAACTCTCCAAAAATTTCTCATCACACATGGGAGGAAACACAAAGTCCTTCCATGCACTCTCATGCCCTGCCTGATCTTGCCTGGCCCATCTCCCTGGCCTCATCTTCCCCTTTCTTTTGCTCACTCTGCTCAAATCACACTCATCTGTTCCTGCAGTCACCCCCACAGAAAACAGTGCCTTAGGTTCATGCTTTTACTTGCTTAGAATGATCCTACCTACCTGGCTTGGTCACTTTCTTCAAAAAACTCAGCAGTACTTGACCCAAGACCAACACTAAACCAGTTGCTGCCGAATCAATTTCCCCTCATAGTGACATCGTGAGATAGAGCAGAACAAGAGAGCAAACCTTTATGGGAGCAGCAAAGATTTCTCCTTCTCCTGGGAGAAATCTCTCCCCCAGAGAAGCTAGTGGGTTCAATCCTCTCAGTACTTAAGCACTTAACTGCATCACCCAGACCCTTTTCCTGACTTTACATTCAATTTCTGTTTCTTCTCTGTAGGCAGATAATACATTTCATGAGAGCAGGGACTTCTGTTCTCTGTTGTATCCCCAACATCTCAAACAGTAACTGGTTCCAGGGAAAAATATCTGTCAAAATAACACCTGAAAAATATCATTCCAGGGCAGACTGATCAAAATGAGTAGTTTCTTAAAGAGCTTCTCATTAAAGTTCAAAGGCCTTTCAAGCACCATCAACGAATTAAAGTTGTATAATAAAAGTACACTCAAGCTAACCTGCTTTACCAACTCAGCAAGTACAAACTATTACACATTGATATTTTGTTTTTTTTCCAAATTATATTAGGGAAAGTACAATATCTACAACTCACAGCCAGAAACCCGTAAGGTTAAAAATAGTCCAGGTATCACTTTTAGAACACAAACAATGCCTGAACTTGAAGGACAAATACCATGACTATATGAGAAATCAAAGTGCATGCACTGTGCTGTTTCAAGGATTCTAAGATTAATTCATTTATTTTCTACTGATAAGCACTTGGTTAAGAGCTTTAGTGAATATATGACATGAGCAATTTATTCTCTCTCTCTCCCTTCCCCTCCCCCAATTGCACGATCTCACTCTCTCTCTCATATCCTGGCTATCTACATAATTCTTTCCCAGAGGAAAAGGCTACCCAACAATATTTTTTTTTTAGATTAGTGATTCTCAAACTTCTCCTGGTATAAATTATCTTATGCGGAATACTAAAGAGACTCTAAAAGTCCCACATCCAAATATGATACTATGTAGGTCACCCACAGTTCATTTTGAAAATACTTCCAATGAAGATAGCGCTGAAAGTGAAGAAGGAAGCCCCTGCCTCTCCCAAAACTGAAGTCAAAGCAAAGGCATTAAAGGCCAAGAAGGCAGTTCTGAAGGGCATCCACAGACAAAAAAAAAAAAAAAGAATATCTGCACATCACCCACCTTCCAGAGGCCTAAGACACTGAGACTCTGAAGGCAGCCCAAATACCCCAAGAAGAACACCCCCAGGAGAAACAAACTTGACCACTATGCCATCATCAAGTTTCCCCTGACCACTGCGTCAGCTATGAAGAAGATAACAACACACTTGTGTTCATTGTGGATGTCAAGGCCAACAAGCACCAAATTAAACAAGCTGTAAAGAAGCTCTGTTGACATTGATGTGGCTCAGGTCAACACTTTGATTAGGCCTGATGGAGAGAAGGTGGCCTATGTTTGACTTGCTCCTGACTATGATGCTCTGGATGTTGCCAAAAAATTGGGATCATCTTAAACTGAGTCCAGCTGGCTAATTCTAAATACAAATTTTTCTCACCATAAATAAAAAAAAATACCTCCAATCTAAAAAATCTGAGTTATCACCACACCTCATAAAAAGCCTCTCACTGCTGTTTGGTAGAAGTCAACTCATAACTGACCCTCCAGTGATCTGAGGCTGTAAATCAAACAGGAGATTATCTATCTTCCTCCCCTCTCTATCCCTCCCTCTGAGCCTCCAGTGGATTCCAATCTCTGGTGTTGCCTGGACTATGGTTTACAGTGCAATCCCTGAAGGACTTTGTTGTTAGAATTGAACCTCCGGTCCGTTTTCAGAGGCTATCAATACCTCAGAAGGAGCAGCTGCTGGAGTCAAACTGCCTACATTTTAGATTGGCAGTGCAGTATACGTCCTCAGGGTAGTCAAATCAGAAACCAAAATGATACAGATCTTAGCTTTTGAGGATTCTTTTCCCCTTTATAGACGTAACTGAACAAATTAAAAAAGAAAAAGGAACCAAAAGGAAAAAAGGCACTCTCTCTTTCATCCTTCCACTACCCTGACTTTGGCTAGCGTTTTGGTAGTCTATCTGTCTCTAGGATACAGTGTTGGATCCTTTCTTTTCACAATTGTATTCATAGTCCAGAATTTCAAACCTCATTTATGTAATATATTTCCCACGTTATTACAACCTAGTTTTTGTTAGGATATTTAGTAGCTGCATTACATTCTATTAAGTCTACTGTCACACCTTCTTTATTTCCCTACAGCTGAATACTTCCTTATTAGTGTCAAGCAGCTGTAAATATTTCCAAATGACCCATTTTCCCAGTTGCTGTTGTTCTTAGGTACCATCAACTTGAATATGACTCACAGCAACCCTATGAACAACAGATCTGCCATTAGTTTTTCAAGAGCAGGAGTATTTTCTAAGTGTAAGGTACAGAGAGCTGGGTGGGAGTGAACACACAGCTCCAAACTGTTTTCCAAAGCATTTTCCTGCCACCTCTGCCATAAAACCACAGCATCATATATTCTCTTCAAAAATTAAAATGTTAGAGGGAGCTCTGGTGGCCTAGTGGCAAGAAGCTGCGCTGCAATCCAGAAGATGCGTGGATCAAATCCACAAGATGCTCTGCTGGAGAAGGAGGGGCAATCTCCTCCTGTACCAGTCAGATCTGATTTCATGGTACAAACACACACAAAAAAAACTAAAAAAAACCAAAAAAAACCCCAAACCACCACTAAAATGTTAGTATCACTTTTAATATCAATACCATCACTTAATATTTTTAAATGTTATCTTAATTTGTGTTAACAGCAAGGAAAACCCAGTACATTTTTAAAATGACTAATAAGGTTAATCCCAAAGGTACACAGTTTGTATCAATCTGCCGCTCCATAGGGGGTTGGGTCATTTTCTCCTGTGGGATTTGCTGCCTCAGAAAACTCTGATGGAGGGTGTGCTGTGAGTCAGTTCTGACTTGAATGCACACAACAATGAGATTAAACATTCCCTTTGCTTACTAGCAGTCCTTTTTTCTTTTCTTACATGACCTATCCTGTCATTTATTTACTCAGGGAACCTGGGGATGTGTGAATGAGTTGTGAACCTCTGTGGACAAGTTACTCTGTTCCACAGACCTGCCTGTTTATGTGTCAGCACACCCAAGACTCTGCTACTTTAATGTTGACACAATCTACTCCGGCAGCTTAAAAACATACTCTTATCGCTGTCCAGTTGATACCGAGTCAGCTGACCTTCCACTAAGTTTCTGATGCTGTCTGAAAAAAGATGTAAACTCATCTTTTGTGGATTCAAACCACCAGACGTGGGTTTTGGGTTAGAAGTGCAGCTCACTATGGACTAGCCACCAGAGAGCTCCCTAAATACACTCTTGTTATGTGCTTTCATGTTGACTACTAAGTGGCCCTATTCATCAGAATCTTGCCCTACCCTCACCATCTCTGCTGTGCTCATGCCCACTCTGTGTCAATCCACTTCACTGAGGGTCTTCCTCTCTTCTTGAATTTTCCAAAGGTGGTTCTTATGTGCCTTGGAGCTGGAACCAGAGGCTGTGAATCACACAGGAGAGGGAGGTTACCAATCCTTCTCCAGCAGAGCAGCTGATGGATGCAGACCCCATGTCTTTGGGATTGCAGCTCAGTTTCTTACTACCAGGTCACCCGAGCTCCCTACAGAACATGCTTCTTGTTATGTGCCTTCCAGTCAGAACTGACTCACAGCTGACTCTGCCTGTGGGTTTTCCAAAAGCAGTAAATTGCATGGAAGGAGACTGTCCATTTCCCCTCAAAACACCTTTATTGTCATGAAAAGAAAAACACACCCCAAACCCAAAAAGCACACGGTCTGCAATGAAAAGGAGGATGTGTTGGTTCAGTGATCTCAGGCAAGTTACTTGACCTTGCCGGGCCTCAGTTTTACTTGCAAAACTGGGAAAATCAGTATCAACAACTGTTGCTAGTAAAGGCTAGCAATGCCAAGCCAACAGCTCCCTTGACCGGGCAACGTTCAGTTCTGTTATAAAAATCGCTTCCACAGCAACTAACAACAAGAACAAAATAAATGCATCCGAAGTCCAGCAACTACCCTCCAATAATTTAAAAAAAAAAAAAAAAAAAAAGAACTCCAACACCAACGCTGGCGTTCGTTTTTACGCAAATGGGGAGCTTGACTTCAGGATCACACAGCAGGTTCAGACGCATTACTAGCTTTGGTACTCACTTTCCTAGGAGTAGGAACAATAAATGCACTAAAAGAATGCATCGGGAGACTGAAAACAAGGCCGGAAAAACCCCCAAACCAACAACCATCCTGCAAGGCTTTTCAGCAACTCCTCCCCTTCTAATAACACCCCAAAACTGCAAAGGTTGCCTTCTCCCAGATTTGATGGACACCAGGGCAACCTGACCCATTCTGCAGCCGGGGCAGCAATCCACTCCTGGAATGTGAAAGCAAGCACCTTTTAACAGCAAAATGCTCGCGAGGTGGACAGAGCCATCTAGGCTTATGTGAATGCAAGGAGTAGTCGCTCGGGTTTACAGATTGCGACCTGGACCTTCCCGAGCATCACTAGCTCGAGGCCCGGAGCAGGGAGAGCGCGCCCGGCCCAAGGTCACCGGCACGCCGCCCGCTCCGCCCGGCGCCCCGCTCACCTCAGCAGCGCCAGGAAGGCGGCGGGCTCCACGTCCGGCAGCTCGATCTCCGCCGACGTGGTGGCCATGCCGCCGTTGAACATGGCGTCGAACACAGCGCTGCCCGCCGCCAGCACGAAACGGTGGGCGGGGATGCGCTGCGGGCCCCCGGCGGCGGCGGGCCCGCGGCCCTTGCCCAGCACGAATCGCACATCGCTCAGCAGTTCTGAGTTGAAGAGGAAGGCGAAGCGCTCCTTCAGGGACTCCTTGGTCGCCTGCCAGTTGTACAGCGGCTCCCGCTGTAGGGGGAGCAGGGGCCCTAATAGGGACGCTGGCGACCCTGAGGGGCCCTGCTCCTCCTCAGCTCCCGGGGCCTGCTCTCCCGGCAAGGCCGACCCGGGCGAGGCCATCCTCTCCCGCTGCGGCTCCCCGGCTAAAGACAGCGCCCGTGCCGATGAGGGGCCATCGCCGAGGCCGCCCCCGGAGGCCGGCGCCGCCTCCCTACCTTCCGGGAAAGGCGCTTCCGGAGGCCGCGCGCCCGGCCTTCGCTCCTAGCCCCTCCCTGCCTCTCCCCGCCGGAGCCGCTCGGTGCGCGGCGGCAGGCGCGTCCTCGGGTCCTCGGCGGCAGGCGCGCGGCCACCGGGCGGGGGAGCCGGGGGCGCGCGGGAGGCCGCCTGGTAGAGACTGCAAGGGAACAGGGCCGCCTATCCAACGCACTGGGAAATGTGCAAGACCTGCGCTCCCGGAGCTGAGCCTTCACTCAGCTGCTTGGGTCCAGTCCTAGCCCGACGGGACGAACCTCAAAGGCGTCTCATCAGGGCTGCTGCAGAGACACACTCCACTCACTAGCCATATCCTGCCTTCCTCCCACCCTCCAGCTTCTCTTCACCAGCTCCAGCAGGCCCATATGTTATCAGGCCTAGTCCTTTCATTACCCACCAGAAAGTGCAGCGAAAGGGTGTCCTAAGAGTGGCAGGATTCCCTAGGACAGGATTCCCCTTTGGGGGAGAGCCCGTCCCTTGCTCCTTGCTGTAAGATAGTCCCTGAATGAAGTCTGCTGTTAAAGGCAGAAGGCAAGGAAGTAACTCTTGAGGAGGTAATGTGAAGTCAAAACATCTTACTCTTTGTAGGAAAAACCTTAAAGATTATAATGTCAATGTAGAAGAATCCCAGACATGGGTTTCTCTTGTAATCCAGCCCATCTATCTCATCTTCCAGACAGAACTTCCAGAGCCTTTAAAACGGTTCCTCCTCTGGAAGAGGAACTTGCTTTGTAAGGAACAGGAAGTGGTACTAAAGTGTGGATGAACGACCACTTCTCCAAACCCGGGTAGGGAAACGGCTGCAGTTCACAGCAAAATGCAGGTGAATGGATTTTGTTTAAAAATGCGTATGATGGGATGACAACCTGAAAGCCCCACTGCTGGAAGACTTAGTTGTGTATTAAAAGAGATCAAGGCAACTGTCATTCATTTAATATTCATATCTTCATAAGAATCATACTCAACTCGATGACACCTAACAACAACAATAACTAGGATAACAAACTGTGCTGTAATCCCAAAGGCATGCAGTTTGGATCTACCAGCTGCTCTTGAGGAGAAGGATGGGAAATCTCCTGTGCCATTTACCACCTCTGAAAATCTGCAGGAGGGTCACGTGTGGATTAGTTTCTATGTAACAGTACCCAACAACTACAACAAGAGTTTTCTGATGAAACTACTGAGGAAATAGAATAAAATAGAAGGGAGGCAAGGGGGAGTTAAAGGCTAGTAGCCATCATCTATCTCTTGGGAGACTTAGTGTCAGCTGCACGCGGCCTCTGGCTTCTCGAGGAGTGGCAGGTCGTATAGCCCTGTTGTGTCCACTTGCCTTACAGCAGTAACTTGTGGTTGCTGTGAAGCTGAACACTGTGACACTGATGTGTCAGATGCGTTAATGGTAACCCATGGCAGACAGTGTTTGGTGGAGCTCCCCGATTAAAATAAGCTTGGAAGCAGGAGTGGCATCCACTTCCATAATAACTTGACTCTGGAAACCCTGTGAGCCTGGAGAAAGGATGAAAGTCACATAAGCATTGAAGACTTTCTTCACAGGGTCGCTATGAGTCTCCTACCACTCGACGGCACTTAAAAACAACAACAGCCTTCATCCACACAGATGTTGGAATTGGTGGATAAGTCATGGTTGCAAAGTCTTCAGGGAATGCATGGAGGGTGGTAGTTAGTGGATACATACATATACCTGAGGTTTCAGTGGAGGTGGGATTGCTGAATGAAAGAACTGTATATGGGAATAGCAATGGATAATTAAAAAAATCTCTTTCATCTGGTTCTGAAATACCTATTTTACTAGAAATGCAGGAGAAAGGGGATTCCCTGGGAAGTTGGTTTTGGCATAAAATGTTTTGTCTTAAAATTCACTCACTTCAGAAAACGAACCATGAAATTACGGTTTCATGCAAAAAATTATTTCTAAACCTGCCTTTCCCTTTTCTCCAGTTACCTCGAAACTTGATAAAAGCTCAGACTCCTGTTTAGTGGTTCTTTGAAGAGTTCCGCTTTGGAGGGGAACTGTCAGTCAAACAAGAGGTGGTGCAGTACAGAGAAAAGACCGTTGCTGCAGGAGGCAAACTGGCGGACAAGCGCACCGGGGAATATGTAGGAAGAGCCCATCAGGAGAAAACAAACATTTTTCTTCTCTCTGGAATCTTGGAAAGTGGAAAGCCTTGGGATTCCTATAGCTTATGGAAAGGAGGCTAAATATTTTTCTTTTCCTCTTAAGGAAATTATAACCTCAGAAGACAGGAGATTTGATGTTTTTTGAGTTTTTTTGGTTTTGTTTGGGTTTTTTGCTGTTTTTTTTTTATCTGAAAAAAAAAAAAGTATGTAGCTCCTTTTCACCATTCGATTCTCTGTGTAGTATCAACAGTCAGCAGGCTTGCTGTAAACAGAAAGTTTGGAGGTGGAGTTAACCCTGGGGCACTTTGTAAGAAAGACTTGATGATCTAATTTGAAAAATAAGCCGTTGAGAACCTTACAGAAAGCAATTATATTCTGACACATACGTGGTTGTTATGAGTTGGAATTGATTCTAGGACAACAGGGGAGTGCGAAAACCTTTTTGGCATACAAATTCTTAAAAAAAAAACCCTGACCATTTTCCTCTCAACTTCTGTTTTTTTAAAATAAAATTTTATTTTATACTGGTTTATTTTTCAGCTTGTTGTGATAATTTCCCAGTACAGAGAAAAGCTGAAAGAGTAGTACAATAGATGCTTGCAGATTCAAAAGATTTACTAGTTAACATTTGCCACTTTTTTTTCTGATCTGTTTCAATGCAAGTTGAAGACTTCCTAACACTAGAACCCCCTTCATATCACTTGAAATGCTTCAGCAGGCATCTACAAAGACATTGTCCTATAACCACCATTAGCACACCTCATATTAACAATGCTATAATAGCATCAAATATATGTTGTTGTTAAGTGCCTTCGAGTCACAGGTGACTCATAGCAATCCTCTGAAGGACAGTCCTCAACGCTTGGGTGCCTTTCATCCTCTCTCCAGGTTCATAGGGTTTCTGGAGGCAAGCTGTTATGGAATTGGATGTCACTCCTCCTTCCAAATTTGTATTAATCCAGGAGCTCCACCCCACTCTCTATCCGCATTGAGTAACCAGCCATTAATGCATTTGACACATCAGTGTCACAGTGTTCAGCCTCACAGCAACCACAAGTGACCGCAGGACGGCAACTTGTACACCAGGGTTATGCGACCTAAAGGAATGTCTGAACAAAAACAATGAAAGACAGGCCCAAGGGCCGCGGATTAAAACTCACCCACCTTTGGTTTGGTAGCATCCCCTTCTGTTCACTGGGCCAGCTGATCTCTATGTTGATGTTATGTTGTTAAGTGCTGTCGAGTCGCAGGCGACTTATGGCGACCCTATGAAGGAGCGTCCTCAACGCTTGGGTGTCTCTCATCCTTTCTTCAGGTTCATAGGGTTTCCAGAGGCAAGCTATTACAGAAGTGGAAGCCACTCCTCCTTCCAAGCTTGTTTTAATCGGGGATTTCATGTACAATTTGTGTTTCTATTTTTGTTTTCTTCAATAGTCAAATTATTTCTTTTGAAAAATTAGCACAGGACAAAGCTATACTTGAATATTCAGGACCTACATGAAATTGCTGAGCATCATGTCAGAGAGACAGGTTGTGGGTTGACCCACAACCAGGTAGACTGACACAGTGACTGCCACAATGGCTTATAGTGTGTCAGGAAGTGTGAGGATGGCGCAGGATAGGACACAGTTCAGATCTGTTGTTCTTAGGGTTGCTATGGGTGTATTTGCCTCAACAGCACCTAACAACAATCACCCATGAAAGTTAGACAGTAACTCTGATTTCTCAGAACATTAATGGTTTAGGCAATGGATACTCCCATATTCTTCCTCACCCAAATATGTACTATCCTAACAACCTTTACTGATGTCAGTATTAACTAAGTTTCTGTCTTTAATGTTACTGCAAATGAAAAGGCAGCTATTCAAAGGTGTTGCAGACCAAGGGTAAAGTATTTTTATAATTATTAATAATGAGACAGCCAGCCAGGAGTGAGATATAACAGAGAGCATAAAACAGGGGGCCAGCAGTTCTTGACTGAAGGGCTCAAGCCATGCCTCTCTGTGTATTTATTGACAATCAAGGGAAACAAATAATAAAAAGAATTCTTTGTAAATGAAGCTGAATTTTTCTCTATTGTCAACCTAATGATTTAGCTCAGGAAGTATTTCACAGGTAGTAACACTCTCTCTGTAGGGGGGCCCTAGCTGTCTTCCGTCTACAGGGAACAAACGCCTCATTTTCTGTGATCTGTCACAAGAGAAATCCTAAGTTATAAATTTGTAGTTCCTTCAATTCCTGAACAAGGGTTTTCATATAATATTTGATATGAAGTTTGGCTTTCCATACAAAGGCACATAACAGCAACATATCTGTGGAACAAGAGGGTAGTGATATCCAATATCATTAGTCAGAACAAGGACAGGGCCAGTTCTGAAACAGACTATCATTTACTGTGATATAAATCCTCCTTGAAAATTATGAAAATGAAAACAAATCCATAACAGCCAAAACACAACCTTGAGTATAATCCCACCTGAATTTAAGCCACCTCAAGATGAAATTTGACGCATTGAACACTAATAACAAAAGACCAGACAAGTTGTGAGGTGATATAAAAAAACATATTATGTGAAGAAAGCAAAAGATCATTAAAAAGACAGGAAAGAGAAAAAACCAAAATGGATGTCAGAAGAGATACTGAAATGTTCTCTAGAATGTAAACAAGCTAAAGCGAAAGGGAGAAAAGATAAAGCAGGAGAACTGAAGAGAAGATCTCAAAACACAGC